TTCGAGGACTAAATTAAAAATTTGGATATAAAAAAAATTTCAATTTTATTTTCTAACCAGTTAATCAATAAAATTGACAAATTTTATTAATTATCGATAGAAAATCTTGATTAGATGATGGAATACGAAGTTGTGATTGACATGTCAATGTACCCGAACGCATCAAATCAACGTATACCATACTTTAAAAAAAAAAATATTCATGTTAAATAATCTAATAAAGAAAACTTATTCTTGCGAATCAATAGTCTTTCGTCATAAATATCGTGAACAAGGTAAATTAAGTTTAAATTCAATTCGATCTGTTTCAATTGTATTTAATTTCTAAATATATTTATCAAAAATGAAGATAACAAGTATTTCTTTTTTATTTGTTCAACATACATTTATAGAATAGGTTAATGTTGTTTTTAATTTTTGAGAAAATGATATAGTATTTATTGAAAAAAATAAATATGAATATAATTTTGTGAATGAGGAAAAAGACTTATAGATGGAAATGATATTAAATTTGCATTTGTTGTATTTAATAATTTCGAACTCATACTATGAATAACATGAACATTAATATGATCAATAATAAATGATGTTCAATTTTTAAAAGAAATATTACATCAACTCGAGCTATTAATGAATCCGGATTAATCAAATATTCCTAAAAATTAATTCATAACAGATTGTTTAAATGCATATTCAAATGATTTCAATGGTAAAAAAAGTAATATCTTCAACGTTGGTGTGAGTTAGGGATGAATAAAGTTGACTTTTTTTGGGATTGGAATCTGAATGTATCTTTTTGTTTACGTAATAGTCATTTTAGTGAATTTCTCTTCAGATCATCTTCAAAATCAAGTTCTTGATAGGATTAATTCATTGTGTAAGTGTCAGAAACTTCCGAATATCTTCTATCTTGAGACATCAATATTGAAAATTCTGTTACGAAGAAAAGCGAACTCCATCTTTTCATATCTCAAAAGTAAATTTTTTAAAGATGATCAGAAGAAGGTTTTCTCTAATTTCAATAGAGTCTACCATCTAATGAGATAAGATTCATGTCAAGAGCATTTTATCACTTAACGAAGTTTCCTCATCTATTGTTAAACTAGGATAATTATTGAATTTACAATTGTCAAATTGTCAGATTGAGCAGCTAGTTTATAAGTATCTTGTTCATTGTGTTGTTACTCAGATTGATTTGTTGGATGAATATCATCCGTCATAATGTCCAATAGGAGTGGCACAGAAGTATTTGTATATACAATTGTTGTTGTTTCTGATAATGATTTTTTTACTTTGGTTTTCTCTGCAGTAGCAGGAGGAGCAGGAGAAGGTGTAGAAGAAGTTGGACGATTTTCTTCTTCATCAGCTGGTGATAATAATTCTTTATCATCACTACGTTCTTGTTTGTGTTTAGATTTCGGTGTTGATAATTGTTCTTGTTTTTCAATTATTTTCTTTTTCTTAGATTTTTTGTTTTGGCTTTTCAGTTAATATAGGAGGTGTTTCAACTTGTTTAGGAACTGATTCTTTTAATTGAAATGTCAATGGTGATGGTGTAGGAATCGATTGAATAGGTTTTTCATTTAAGTCAATATTAAGTGCTCGATATGGATCATATTTTTTATTTTTTTCAACACACACATCATTATCATTGTCTTTATTTTCACTTTCTGTAGTATTTTCTTATAATTCACCGCCATGTGTTACTTTAACAGTTAGATAAATATCATCATCATTATCATGAATTAATTCTGCACCAGTTTTCGATTTTTTTCTTTAAACATCAATTTTCTTCATCAATTTTTGCTTGACGATATAATTGATCAGATAGTGTTACTTGTGAACCAGTAGCATTTGTTCCTTGTGATAATGATAATTCAAGTCTGTAGCTTATTGATGTCGAGATATTGCACTTTTACCGTAGTTTTTAAATGAATGTCGTAGTTAGAGCCTGTCGTATTAGTTTCGGATCCGAAAACTTTGAATTCGATGGGTTCTAGCCATG